ATAGTATTCCATTGTGTGAATGTACCAAAGTTTGGTTATCCATTCCTCAGTTGTTGGACATCTAGGTTGTTTCCAAGTTTTGGCTATTGCAAATAGTGCTGCGATGAACATCAGCGTACTTATATCTGTTCTTGTTATGGCTCTCACTGTGGGGAGCCACCTTCCCCTGGCTAGTCTCACTCTAAGTGGACTCAACCTACAGAACTCCCTCACCCCAAACTCACACAGTGATGGGGAGGCACAGAGGTTCTTCTCCCAACTGGAGCCAAGGAGGCTTCTATGGAGTCAAGTCAGAAGTGGGTCCGCCCCTCACACACAGCCTCCAGAGTTTGGAGAAGCCAGAGCCCCACAAAGCACCATGCAGAACTCACAGGGAGGACCTCCCCGCAGATGAGAGAGAGAGGACGGAGCCTGGGGACGTGGGCTGAATCCTGCATCCAGACGCACCTGAGGCAAGTCTTGGGGCCTTTTTGGCTCAAGCCAGCCCGCATTGGGTTTTTACTTTCAACAGCTTCTCAGTCACCCTGTATCCCTTGCCCTTTGTGGGCTCAGGGGGTATTTTGATTTGAGGCAGTGATTCCCATTCTGAGCCCTCACTCTCTACTCCAATTTTTCTTTCATATTAAAGAGGTCCCAGCTAAGTGTATACTGATATTTAATCATGGCCCACTAGCCTTCTGTAGCGTAGTGCCTAAGGCACTTGACTGCTAACCAAAAAGCTGGCAGTTCAAAGCCACCAGCCACTCCTCAGAAGGAAGGTTGGGCAATCTACTTCCAGAGTGATACTGCCTCAGAAACCCAAGGTGGGATCACTCTGATTTGGGGCTGACTCAACAGCACATAACAACAGCAACAACAACTAGCCTTCTGAGAACACTGGAGAGGAAACCCAGGCATCTGGTCTACTCACAAGAAAATCAACCTCAGTGGCAAAGGATCATTGCAGGATATACAGCATTTAACAACCCCCACAGAGGCCTTCCACAGATGCTTGGAGTACGTTTTGTTAGATGTGCATGCCTGACCAAAGAAGTCAGCTACAAGATGCCAGAATGAAGCTAAGTCACCTCCACAGCACACTTTCTGGTTTTGTCAGCTCCAGGGAGCTGCGGATCATGGATCCTAGCTGAAATAGTCACTGAAGGCAGATTAACTACAATAACACATGTAAGACTGGCAGTTTGTACATGCTGCTGAAACACCAGGTCAGTTTGGGAAACACTTGTGAATGCAAACACCTTTTACATGGCAGTGATCATCAGTAAGTAAAAGCGTCTAATAGGGGAAATAGACCAGAGTAATGGTTATTATGGGTTGAATGTGTTCCCCAAAAAAGACATTCAAGTCCTAATTCCTGGTACCTGGGAAGGTGATCTTATTTGGAAATAGGATCTTTGCAGATGTGATCAAGTCAAGATGAACCAAAACACACTGTTATTGAGTTGATTCTGACGCATAGAGACTCTATGAGACAGAACAGAACTGCCCCACAGGATTTCCAAAGTGGTGATCTTTATGGGAACAGAGTGCCACATCTTTCTCCTATGGAGCTGCTGGTGGGTTCAAACCAGGTGGGTTCAAACCACTGATCTTTTGATTAGCTCACAGCCAAGTGCTTACTGCACCACCAGGGCTCCTTACGTCTTAATCCAATATGATGGTGTCCTTATAGAGATAG